TGCAACAATGAATGAATGGAAACCCAAAATCTCTGTAAATGTTTATGAAAATTAATAAAATATAATTATAGAAAAAAAATGGTGATGCTCATATCTGCCCACCTCTTGAAGTGTGTGGTGCTGGTCACTTTCAGGAAAACTGTGAAAGCAAGCGTGTCACCGATATACTTGGCTCTTAAACCCTAAGTAACTGAGTTTTCTTGGCCCACTTTGCATTTTCACATAGATGAAAAAGTTTGCTTGAAACACTGTGGGAATAATTGTGTATAGAAGGGTTCTGTTTAATATGTTTCATCCAGTGACACTCTAAGAAAAGCTTGACTATCTTATCCTCTCTGGGCACGACGCTTGACTGGGCATCTTAGGCTGGCAAGCCTGTCCCCAGATGCATGACCAGCATTGAGAAAACGGACCCTCACACTCTCACCTGCTCACAGACTCTGTCCGGAATCTTTAGCCTCCATTCATTTTATAATCTGCTTTCCTGTTTGTTCCTAACCTCATCCATTCCTGACCTCAGGTACTTCCAGTGAGGGAAATGAAAGCACTCTATCAGAGGAAACGTCACGCCTGACTCATGATCTCATTTCTCAGTCTTATAGCCTTTTGTGCCTTGTGTAACACAAGTTACTGCCGCTGGCAGAGGTGTGTGCGTTTGTGTTTGTTTGTGTGTGTGTTCCTGGGGGAGGTGCTAGGACAATGGACTGAGCACAGGTGGTCCTGATTCTGCTATTATGAGCTGTGTGGTGCTGGACAGACTTCTTTACCTCTAAGGACCCAGGGACAGTGCATTCAGTCCGGTCCCAACTAATCCACAGAGGATTTTGTGAACATCAAAGGAGAAGATGAAATGAAAGCATGCGTAAGATAGTATTAGCTCTGCTTTCTTAGAGCTCAGGAAACCCAAACCTACTGTAATTGAGCCAGCTAGCAACAGAAGAGAGGCTAAAGGTCAAGTTGGCCGATTCCCAATGATATTCCAGAAACCGAGAGGAAGATAACGAGTACAAGCATCTGAGGATAGCGTCCAGGTCTCCTCATTCTTTCCTGTCAGTGCACAAAGCTACTCTGATGTCTCCTGTGGTTTAACCCCATCCTTTTACTCTCAGAGGAGCTCTGCTTACCCAGTGGTTAAACACTCAGCTGTTAACCAAAAGGTTGGTGGTTTGAAATCATAGGAACGCCCTGGGAAAATATGTGGCAATCCACCATAAAGATTATATCCATGGAAACCTTCTTTGGGGGGTTTTACTGGTCTATTAGAGTTGCTATGAGTCTGCATTGACTTGACAACAATGGATTTGATTTGGGTTTAGTTCCTTGATGCCACATTCCCTCCAGTTCCTCTGATGTTATGTCTGCAGTTACTGACTTCCCAACCTCTCATTTTTTTTTTTTTACTGCTCATTCCAAGAAGCCTTACTCTCCATCACTCGGTCAAGGTCACCAGTGAGCTCCACGTTATCAGACCCCGTGATGACTTTTTTTAAAAAAATTTTATTATTTGAGTGTACCGTCAAATCAGATCTGACTGGTATAGGAGGGGATTGTCCCTCCTTCCCCGGCAGAGCATCTGGTGGATTTGAACTGCACACCTCTGGGATTACTTGACTTCTTCCTAGGCTCGTTTGTCAAAGCTGACATCTAGCTCCCTGTTGAAATACTCACTTCTCCTGGTGTCCTAAGTGTGACACTCATCTCAGTACCCCTCCTTCCTCCACTCTCTGTCCATCTTGTGTCTTCCTGGTATCAAGGGTTGGCATGAACACCCTAAGGTTTGGTATTTCTTAAAGGTCAACTCCTTTCTATCTGATTTTTCCCCTTAGAAGTTCACTGCATGCTTTCAATGCTACATCTATGCTAAAGACCAAGTTTTCTCTCTAGCCCTGATTTCCTCTCTGAGCTCCATATGCCTCTCCATAAATGTCTAGAAGAGAATTCACATTTCACTTATTTCCATCATGCCCATGCTGACTTACAGACCAAGGTATAGCTGCTCCGTAAGCTTGTAAATCCTTCTCTCATAGACGCCCTGAGGGACTGTCACATGTTTTTCCCGTGGAGTGCCTGGTGAGTTTCAACCACTTGCTTTTTTGGTTAATAACCACTCACTTTAGCCACTGTGCTACCAGAGATCCAGAACACAGACTTTTCATGTCAAAAATAGAAGTTTTTCTCTCGATTTTCCTCTATTACCTCAATCATTTAACTAGTTTCTTGGGCCACAAGCTAGAGTCACCTGTGTTCTTCTCCCCACCTTTTTGGTGAATTTAAAGCCCTATCCTAAATCTGACCACTTCTCTCTTCACTGTCATCACTCTGCTCCCAGCCATCTTTTTCTCTCGTACCTCACAGG